AAATGCTTCCATAAGACCAAGTGTCTCGAATAGCCTTTGCTGAGGAAGCCCTACTAACCGCTTCCTCGTGATGGAGGTGTTTTCACATCAAAGTGAGAGGACGAATAACCGACATCCGGGGCTATAACCGTGTTAGTGGATCACCGGTAGTTCACCTACTGGAGTTGATCAAAAATCATGATTTCAGACCAACCAAGAGGAGGCGTACGAACCACACACAACCCCCTGGTTGTATCAACGATTACCGGCTTGATTGAGCATCGAGGTGTATTGAGCACTTGGGACTTTTGACACAAAGAGTGGATGATCCGATGAACTGGACACCGGTTCCCAATGGACTGCGGTTTTCACAAACCACCCCGCTGCCTTGCGAGTCAGGCTTTGTCTAGCCGAAGGCTCCCGTTGTGGATTCCTCAAGAAAATTCACTCGCCTTGGACAGGGTAACCTGGTAGTATTCAGCCCACATGCAAATCATGGAACGATTATCTTTTACAAGGATGATTGTACCATTATTTGTTTGGCACACAGTCTGGCGCCAGACGTCTGTGAAGCATAAATAAGACTATATACGGCCTTTCATTGCTGCTAAGCTTCCAACATAGTAGCTTGGACAGGACAGAACTGGAGCGCGTTTTGTATCATCCAAGTATTGAATGAAGATCGTTGATTGAAACGTTATCTGCACATTTTTGAACAGTCAGTTCTTGTAATTTGCCTTGGATACGAGACGCAATTAGAGCGGTTTCCGTGATCGCTATCACCCAGCCATAGCAAAAAGGGTTTACCCGCACATACCAGTGTTTGTTTAGAATGACTCACTTCTTATCCCATATTTTCCTAGGCGTATACAGTTCTACCGCGGACAGCAATTGACTGAGTGTTGTGCTAACCTGTTGACAGCACACTCGACGGACCGCTCTAACGGAGGCCCAAGGCGTTCAAACCTCATCAACCGACCAGCGTGGTCTCATCGAATCGAAACTCTTGATCCCTACTTCATCTATGCTATCATATTCTTACGTTGGCTCCCATTTGGCGGGCGATATGTGCACTTTCTCCAAGCAATCAAGATACATGAGGCAGGATGGTTCAGCGCACGATCCACCCCACTACCGTAGCCAATGCAACAACAAGCTCAGTGGATATTAGACACCGGGAGTAACTAAACACGCATTCAAATTCATTTGTGAGAGATCAATAACCAGACAGAAACTTTTCGTCTGAGTCATGTTTCAATAACAATAACAGAAGCAGCAAAACACATACAATTGCCGGTCAAATTCAGCTCGTTAAGCATCTCCAGGTGATACTCATGTCCATGTCTGACACAATCCCCCTTCCTTCATCGAGCTATCCTGAAATCTAAATAACTTTGCATCGCTTAGTTTGCTCGCTCCTCTTTTTTCTCAAGCACCAAGAGGGGACGAGAAAAACGAACGGTATCGATGGGATACCAACCCACCGATGAATACCACCTACGATTCTGTACAACGCACAGATCTACCAACCGAGCTATGAGACCACGCCGATAGCACTGGAGTTTTCACGTTTGACTCATTCATCCAACTTATCGAGAGGGATATAGAATCCATTAGTTTACAAGTACGCGAACTGCCATGACAGATGATCCTTGGAATTCACTGGTTTTAGTATGGAGAACTAGGTGATGGGAAACATCGACATCGCAAAAGTACAAAAATACTACTCCTTGGTCCTTGAAACTTCATGTCAAAACACTTCAGGGAATCAAATCGAATGGAAATTGCTTGAACAAGTGCTACTCACCACGGAAGAGAATCCGTTGATCGCATCCAGACGACTACTGGTTTGCAATTTGGCTAGGACTTCCCATAAGACATGTCCGATTAGTGTCAGGTAGTGCATAGCACCTTGACGTGTTAAGGTTGGAAGTGATACCTTGACACTGAAACACGACGGGGAAAGCAGGGTGAGATGCGTGGATTGCGGTCATGCATTCAGATCACCAGCGTGACAGAAAAAAACGGTACTCGACATGTGAACAATTGAAACAATGAAAAACTCACATGATTATCAGCTCTGATAGTTCCGTAATAGGGACAGATCGCAGTAAATGGCAGAATATCTGAAAAGCATTCAAACTTGGGGAGACGATGGATGGGGACATGTTAGACACAACCAGAGAACGATATCAATTATCAAACACACCATGCACACCTGTGCAACGTAAGCAAAACTAGAAGAAGTTTACGGAAGAGAACAAAAAGTTTCATCGGCGACACTGACCAGTATAGGCTGTTCACACACACAAAGAGAGAGAGGAATATCGCGCTTGAAAAGGGAAATCGATAGCTCTCGTCAAACGAATAGTGTACGGTGTAAAAATGGATTAAACATAAAGAGGAGGAACTTATGATGTTTGCACAATTCATATATTTATCCATTCGATCATACCCCTGTGCGTAATATTTCTTTTTGCTAAAAATTAAATTTTCACTTAATCGCTTGGAAACCATGGGTCTACTGTCCATGTTGACTGTTACGATTGTACAAAAAGGGACTAAGAGGACTCCGTACGCGGTCATCAGCACTTTAGTCTATACCACCAGACCAATCTTTGATTGCCGCGTACAATGGTGGAGGACCCTGACAAATCTCGCGACAAATTATCCAGAAATTTTACTATGCA